TTTATTTGTTTATTTATTTGTTTATTTATTTATTTGTTTATTTGTTTATTTATTTGTTTATTTATTTGTTTATCTCTGTCTCTATCTCTGTTTTTTTTTATCTGTCTATTTTAGTGCTGCTGCACAAAATGTCTCCTTACTTCACTTTGTCTGTTTGCCTGTCTCTATCTTTATTTATTTATTATTTATTATTTATTTATTTATTATTTATTTATTTATTTATTTATTTGTTTGTTTGTTTGTCTATTCGTCTCTCATCTGTCTCTTCGTTTGTTTTTATTTTCTCCTTTTGTTTATTTTTGTGTATTTCTTTTACTGCCTTTTTCTTCTTATATCTTTTTATTTATTTTTATTTATTTATTTTTATGCTTATTTATTTTAATATCTCTTTATTTATTAACTATGTTGTATTATATATAAATATATATATGCATATATATATATGTATATATATATATATATATATAAACTTGTATGTTTTGTTTGTGTGTATGAACAGGCGACAATAAATTGTTTAGGGGACTGCATGCAAGGCGGCATTCTAACAGTTGTTTTATGCATAAAGAATTACAGTGCAGCAGATGTTGATATACTTGCTTTGCTGCCTAGAGACATTACTCATCACCTGCAACCTCCTGCTCCTGCTGCTGCTGCTGCTGATGGTGGTGGGGGTGGTGGTGGTGGCGCTGCTGCTGCTGCTGCTGCTGCTGCTGCTGCTGGGCAAGGAAGAGGAAGCAGCAGCAGCAGCAGCAGCAAACACCACCTCCGTAGACACTCCAACTATGCAGCACATACTACCCCAGCCCTCATCCCCCTTTGCTCGAAGAAAGACCTCGGGTCAGGGTTTAGGGTTTAGGGTTTAGGGTTTGTGGGCTGGGGGTGATGATCGTAGTTTCGCCTGCATTTGCACTGATTTAGGGTTTATCTTTTTCGGGAGCTTAGGGTTTAGGGTTTAGGGTTTAGGGTTTAGGGTTTAGGGTTTGCGTGCAGGCGAATAGGGGCTGGGAGTTCGCAGTCGGTTTATTTACAATTTGTTGCTGCCCGCAGCGGTTTGCATGCATTACCTCCTGTGCTGCTGCTAGACAGAAGCAGCAGCAGCAAAGCTATTGCTAGAGGAGGTCAGGTGCTTGTCTTGTAGTAAATACACCCCACATACACCCCACATGCATGCATGCATGCATTTGCATGCACTTGCATGCAACCAATGCATGCATGCATTTGCATGCAGCAACTGCATACACTTGCATGCAACAATTGCATACATATGCATGCAACAAATGCATGCATTTGCATGCATGCATGCAACAAATGCATGCATTTGCATGCATGCATGCAACAAATGCATGCATTTGCATGCGTGCATGCAACAAATGCATGCATGCATATATTTGCATGCAGCAACTGCATGCATGCAGTAATTGTACGCATGCAACAAATGCATGCATCGGCATATGTATATGAATATGCATTTGTGCATGATAGCTATCAAACTAAATCTATCTACCTAGCTAGCTAGCTAGCCAGCTAGCTAGCGCTGCTTTGAAGGCGAGAGATTTAGCTAAGGGCGTTGGTGAGGAATGAACAAATAATATTAAATATATAGAAATAAAAAACAAATAAAATATGTTGTGAGGTAAAGAAGATAGTGCTCAGCTCAGCTGCAACAAAACCCGCGTTTGCTGCTGTTGCAGTTACAGACACCCTTGGGGCTGCATGCATCTGCATGCATCGGGAAGAGAAGACAGAGACACAAGGAACAAGGAGACAGCGGCCATGTGCCTCCATTTAGCTGCAGTCGCTGCAGCAGCAGCTGCTGCTGCTGCTGCTGCTGCTGCAGCTGCATGCATTTGCATGCAGCTGAGAGTTTTACCCCTCAACTCGTTTAAAGAGAGCTCGCGCTAGCCGCAGCCATATCGGCAGTTCGCAGCGGCATTTGCTGCTGCTGCTGCTGCTGCTGCTGCTATCATAAGGCATGTTAGACGGTAGCGGCAACAGCGCCCAGCTGCCGGGGTCGTCTCCCGATCCCGAGAAGCTGCAGCAGCAAATGCATGCACAGCAGCAGCAGCAGCAGCAAATGCATGCACAGGAGCAGCAGCAGCATCAAATGCATGCACAGCGGCAGCAGTAGCAGCAGCAGCAAATGCATGCACAGCAAAAGCAGAAACAAAAGTTGCACTAGCAGCAGCAGCAAATGCATGCACAGCAGCAGCAGCAAAGTCTTGCATCAAGGCTGCAGCAAGAAGTCTGTGGGGTGCTTATTTCTAGGGTTTAGTAGGGTCTACTCGGGTTTTTTAGTGTTTAGGGTTTAGTAGGGTTTAGCAGTGTTTAGGGTTTAGGGTTTTAGGGTTTAGGGTTTTAGGGTTTAGGGATTTAGGGTTTTAGGGTTTAAGGTACTGTTTAGTAGTGTTACGTAGGGTTTATTAGGGTTTATTAGGGTTTACTAGGGTTTACTAGGGTTTATTATTGTTTATTAGGGTTTAGTAGGGTTTATTAGGGTTTA